GCTGCAATTTAGCAGTGAAACAAATAGTTATTATGGAGGACTTAAATTACCTGATTTTAAGACTTACTGTCAAGTTGTAGTAATCAACACATTGTGATAGTGATGTACTAATAGACAAGCAGATGAATGAAAATATGGTGTATGTGGAAATGGAGCTACAATTTTTTTTTTTTTTTGAGACAGAGTCTCACTTTGTTGTCCCCAGTAGAATACCCTGGCGTCATAGCTCACAGCAACCTCAAACTCTTGGGCTTAAGTGATTCTTTTGCCTCAGACTCCCAAGTAGCTGGGACTATAGGCGCCCACCACAACACCTGGCTATTTTTAGAGGTGGGGTCTCATTCTAGCTCAGGCTGGTCTTGAACTCATGAACTCAGGAGATCCACCTCCCTCGGCCTCCCACAGTGCTGGGATTACAGGCGTGAGCCACCGTGCCTAGACTGAAGACCTACAATATTTTTGACAAAGATGTCAGATAGTTCAATTGAGAAATAGAAAGTCTTATCAACAAATGGTATTAGAACAAGTAGATACACAGGTGGTGTGGGGCATGATTCCCAACCATTGCCTAACACCATACACAAAATTTAGGATAGGTTATGTAATCAAGCTTTAGAGTTTCTAGAAGAAACAAAGGAAAATATCTTTGTGACCTTATGATAGACAAAGCTTTTTTAAAGGATGAACTATAAAAGAAAAAAAAATAATTTAGACTTACAGTAAAATTTACAACTTGGGTTCATTGAAAGATACCACTGAGAAAATGAAAAGGCCAACCACATGTTGGGAGAAAATATTCTCATTGCATATTTGTAACAAAAGATTTATATGTAGAACACGTAAAGAACTCATTTTTTTTTTTATTAAATCATAGCTGTGTACATTAATGCAGTCATGGAGTACAGTGTGCTGGTTCTATATACAATCTGAAATATTTTCATCAAACTGGTTAACATAGAAGAATATTAATATTAAAAAGACAGTCCAATTGAAAATGAGCAAAAGATGTAGACACTTTAAAAAGAAGGTATGCAAATGACTAATGAGGGCCTGAGAAGATGCTCAGTATTATTAGTCTTTGAGGAAATAAAAAATTAAAATCATGATGAGATACTATTTTGTAACTTATGAAAAAGACAAATTCTAAAGACTAGAACTATCAATACATTTTTAGTGGGAATATTAAATGGTACAGCTGCTTTGGAAAACTCACTGGCAGTTTCTTACTAAGTTACATGTACCTGTGAGCCAATAGTTCCACTCAAAAGTATTTATATAAGAAAAAATGAAAGCATGTGTTCACAAAAGCTGTTATACAGAAATGTTTACATTAGATGTATCTGTAATAACCCAAATTTAAGAACTTCCCTGCTATAGAGTGAATGGTTGTGTCCCCCCCAAAATTTATATTAAAACTGTACTATCAATGGGACTTTGGGGAGGGGATTAGGTCATGAGGAATCTGCCCTATTAAATAGGATTAGTAAATGAGATTATGAAAGAGATCCCAGAGAATTCCCTTTCCCCTTCAGCCCCGGGAGGGCACAGTGAAAAGACCAACACACGGTCTATGAATCAGGAAGTGGGATCTCAGTAGACACTAAATGTGCCAGCATCTTGATCTTGGACTTCCCAACATGCAGAACTGTGAGAAAAGCATTTCTGTTACTTATAAGCCACTCAGGGTATGGTATTTTGGTTACATATCCCAAATGGATTGAGACATCCTCAAATGTTCACTAGCAGGAGAATCGTATATGCTTATAGTAGAATTCTACTCAGCAGTAAAAAAAAAAAGAAGGAACACTGATTTGTCCCACAGAATGCATGATGATCTGAAACATTAAATTGAATGAAAGAAGCCAGGTATAAAAGAATATGTCCTTTATAATTCCTTGTATATAAATTCTCCAAACAGGCAAAGCTAATCTGTGGTGATAGAAAGTAGAGCAGTGGCTGGTAATGTTAGCACTTTGGGAGACCCAAGCAGGTGAATTACTTGAGCTTGGGAAGCGGAAACCAGCCTGAGTAAGAGTGACACCCCATCTCCACTAAAAATAGAAAGACTAGCTGGGTATAGTGGCTGAGGCAAGAGGATAACTTTAGCCCAAGAGTTTGAGGTTGCTGTGAGCTATGACGCCGGGGCACTCTACCCAGGGCAACAGAGTGAGACTCTGTCTCAAAAAGAAAAACAGAACTATTGTTATCTATTGGGAGAAGGGGGGATGGTGATGGACTGAGAAGTGTATAAGGAACCTTTCTGGTTGATGCAGATGTCTTTATCTTTATTGGAATGGTGCTGATACTGGGTATACATATATCAAAACTCATGTTTTTGTGCCTTTTACTATATATAAATTTATGCCAATAAGAATGTTGTATATGCAAAATGTACTTAAATTTGATATTTGTGCATTTCTCCTTGCTGGAAAAAGGACCTCAATCCCATGTTTTCTTGCAGGGAAAGAAATAACCAAGTGTTTATGGAACCTGAGAAAGAAAGAAACTAGTAGATGAAGTTGTTCTGCTTTTTTTATTCCTGAGATATATATAAAAATATTGTCTATCACACCCATCAAGCAATGCATTCCAAGCCAGGAGAAATAGCCAGTTCTCTAGAGGGATGATGGCTGTGCAATGTAGAATATCATTAAGGCACTGTCATAGTTTAATTAGCAATATTTTTTTTCTTTCATGGTGGTACAAGTAACGGCATATCTCATAGTCATTGGTGTTTTAGATTTCATGAGCTACAGTCAGGTGAACAGGTAAAATTAATATTGACTAGATGTGGAATACTAATATTTTCAGTGGACTGAAGTTAAGAAGAGATCATAAGATCAGTCCTTTTGACATCTAATGAGATCAAGGCTGAAAAGTATTTTGAAATAAAGCTGCTTTTTAATGCTAACAGAAACTATTCTAAAGAATTACCTAGTTATCAGAAATACTAAAAGGTAGAGTATGTAAAAATTCTAGGATTAAGGTTAATTTTTAAAACCGTGACTCTGTGAACTTTAACAAAGTATGTCAACCGAGATGTAAACATGCAAATGCTATGTGATTCTTCTTAGGCAATGGAAGGTGAGTTAGGTGTTTTTTTTTTTTTT